ACGTGTCAAACCTTCTGGAGAGTACTACGTACTACACGTTATTTGATAATAAACGTACCAAACACGCTGCTGTAGGTCATACGCCTCTAGTATTGAGTAATTAGGTATAGATACAAATTGATTTCTCCTTCTAACATTGTCAATTCAGCTTTCTATACCATTGATCTCGTTTTTTTTTAAATAATTGGCACCATGGTGTGCTATATTTAAATTGCACATGTATTCTTGAACTTTGACCCAATTATATTGTACTGTAATAATATTCACATGACTGAATCGGACTCATTCAATACATTAATAATTCTCATCTAAATTCAAATATGATATTTTTATAACAATTGAAGTTCTCGCTAGCTGTTGTTGGCAACATATTGTAAAACGCCACTTATTATATGTAAGTAAAAGTGTTTTACGAACGTAAAAAATGATAACACAAACTGTCCATATTTGAATATCAAAATAATATTTCACCATGTTAAATTTATTATATACCCTATACATGTATATAAAATATGTTTTTGAAATGCAGTCCCTCACCCCCTTGGCTATTTTCGCAGATTTTTCGTCGCCGGAGCGATTCACGTCCCAAATTTTGGTTCTCTGGGCGTCTCTAATAAATACTCTATCTAACCGCTGGACTGAATTAGCTGAATTATGAAAAATTCATAGAAGATTGGGCGAAAATCGGTCGTTTTTGGCCTCAACGTTTTTTTTGCTCGGAAACGTAAGGGCGATAAGACTCGATTTTCAAAAACGCAGGTCGCTCGGATCGGACGGTTACTATTGTTTCGAGTCTGTTGTGTGTTTAAAAACATAATAACTTTGTTTTTTTGGTAAATATAGAACATGCTCTGTTCCAATAAAGCATTTTGACATGCAAATCAAACAATTTTATTAGTTCCTTATTGTAACGTCCCCCATATAAACAGTCCTGTACTCTCCAGAATTTGACAATGGTACTAGCCCAGAATTGACTTTCTGTTCAGCGTTTTTGATTGTAGCAATTTTACGCCACTGTACGAAAATACGCACACTCGCGAATTTGACACATTCACTTGAGCGTTTTAGGATAGT